AAAGCAATAATTGTAATTTTGTAAAAAATGTGGGGATATATTTGGTATTTGAAAATTTCATTAAATGTGCACTGATTACTATGCTTTGAAAAAAATAAGCACTTTTTTTAGAAGCATAGTAGACCATACTTCTGATTTTCTATGTTTTTCTATTGTCATTAATGTCAATTAAAAAAAAATTGTTTTACCAAAGACATTTGATGCTTCATATTTTCTAATAACCTTTTTTTTTTTAAAAGAACCACTATCTCAAACCAGTCCTAAATATAAAAATTTGGAGGGTACACTGGTATATTTAGAGTGTCAATAACAATTTGTTTTTCAATTTTATTATATAATAATGATGTATATTCAAGTGAAACTTTAAAATTAGAGTATTTAAAGCTTTTTTTTTTCTTGTTTGTTTGTTTAAGATTGAACCGCTTTGATTATGTAGTGAAAGTTATGTTTGTAGTTTTTTTTTATTACTTATTATTTAATGACATTTATAAACTTACAATCAGTGAATTCTAAAATTTGTTTTGATTTAAGTTTTTTTTTTAGCATTAATACATTGTCCTACTTTTTGAAAAAACCATTTTAACGAGAAGAACTTTTATAAACTCCACACATCAATTCCAAAATCTCGGAGATCGCCAGGATTAATCAAATATTTTCTTAATTTCTACTAGTATATGCGCACAATAAAGTGTGAAATTTTTTACTTTGGTTGTTAAAATTGAAAGAGAGGGGAAGCGAGTGAGAGAAAACATGGGAGTGAGGAGAGGAGAGAGGGAGAGATATTGTTTTTTTATTTAAATTAGAGATGATAAACTTACATGTAGGTGAAGTTTAAAAAAAAAAGTAAAATTGTATTTTGTAAAATTACATTATTGTCTTAAATTTTTTTTGTTGTGATAGAAAATAAATATGTTTTTTTTATCCTCATTTAGTTGACAAAAAGAGTTTTATTAATGTAGTTTTAAACCATGGAAGTTGATATGATATCTTCCCAGACATCAATGACCTACTTTTTGGACTCAAACAAGGAGGCAGATTCTATGTCCTCCTACTTTCCGTGCTCTCCTATTTTGTGTGATCACAGTTAAGTCATGTCAATATTTTATATTATTTTTTTATAGAGATAATAAGATAAAAATGAATAGTAATATAAAATATTAATATGACTTAATCGTAACTACACGAATAGAAGGGCACGGAAAGTAGAAGGGAGCCGCGGTCAAACAATCGCCCTTGTGGAAGGGTAATCATTGATTTGAATACAGTAAACACAATTAGAAAATGTTGATAGTAACTGATTAACTATTTTGTTTTTCACCAACTATTTATTATTAGTATAATGCCTATTTATCCACGTTTTGAGATCATTGGAGTACATCTTCATCTTAGCCGTCCATGCTTTTTGGATTCCATAAATATAAATAGTCTGGATTCTTCAAACACGTACACGTACGACTGATTCTAATTTTATTTTATTTTATTTTATTTTTTTTTTGTAAATTCCTTTATTTTGTAGGGTGCTATGCTTCAAGTAACGTCGATATCAGATGATGTAATTGAGTCATGATGACAAAGTGCTTATACAATATGTAGATGAAAAAGGTATGATTAAATTTGGAGTGTATAGAATAAGTGGAACCTTAAATCACTACAAGGTGGTTCAGTAGTTGAGACGAATTTCAAGTTCGTATTCTAAAACGACATGTTTTGTGTTTGATTCCTTGCACATAATCATACGATGGTGGTCAGAATGGTGAACTATTTTGAGAAGCAACCATCTATTTCCTTTTCAAGAATAAAACAAGTGGAACCTTCATTTTGCCTGAAAACTTCACTTTGTTCATTTGATTTTAACAATGTGAAATTATCAGTAATTTGATAAACCAATCAAACTAGCTGAATCATAAAATCGATCCTTTAATTTTGTTCTACATTCTATTGAATTTACATTAAGAATAGAAAAAATAATGGTTAATAAACAACTGATTAAATCACATTATTGCTAGCCCATTGTAAGGTACTAATTATGTAACAACCTATCCCTAACTTTACAATTTTATTAATTTTAAATGAGTGAATTGACGAAAATGCCTCTAGAGGCAAGGATTTTGACTTCTGTTGACCATCGGGGCGTCTCGGTCGACTTTTTAAGATTGATCGTTGACTTTTTGTTGACTTTTTACAAAATTTGCTCGGGACCCCGCTCTGGTTCCGAATCCACGCTCCGTTTTTCCAAATTTAGTCGTTTAAGTTGAGTTTTACTAATTGTTCCTAATATTATGCTTAGGTGCAATTATTATCAGAGACTCTGGTTATTCCAGTTTAAACGGATGCGGCCTCGCAAGTATCTGTGAGTGGGTCTTTACTTTTAAATATTATATATTTATTCAGTTTCTATTTATACGTTTGAAAGAGAATTTCCTACGTATGCCTAGATTAGACTAATGTTTATAAGAATTAGCGAAATAGCGGAAATTACGAAATTATCCCAAATCCTACGGGATGCACATGTATGCATACTTTTATGGGGTTTTAATTACAACCATGATTAATATTTTACTTATTACTATTATGTTGATGTGAATTATCAAATTACTATGGCACGACTATATTTATGTTATCTGCTCATCGTTTGCTGCACCGGTGTTAGTACTCGCCGGAGCCAAGGCCAATCTTTCACGTGTATGTTCACATCGCACTGTACGTTCACTTTGTAAGTGCCAGTCATGTCCATTGCTATAGGCAATTAGGACTCGTATGTGCTGCTTATAGCTCCACTTTTCACGTCGTAAATCACTGGTACACCCAGTCATGTTTATGTCAGAATACATTTGCATGAACTCGTGCATAGCATGTGTCGATAAGCACTCGATATGATATGTTTGCTAATGCGAGATTATGTGATTACATACGTTATGTACTTATTTATGAAATATTGTGTCGTATTGAATTCTTGAGATTTTGCAGGTTACGGTAGTTATTTTCTTACTATACGTAGTATGTATATCTTGGAAACTATACTTGTTTTACGGTGATGGGTTATTATGTTTTCGAAAAAGTTTTTATAAAGCTTTGTTTTTAGGCCCACTCACCCTTATTTTTCACCCATCCAGGTTTAGTAGCTACGCATTTTGTGTCGACGAGGATTCTTGGCAAATCTTGGTATAAGTGGTTACCTTCGATGGTATGATTCTCATCCTACCTTACTGCACTTTACTTATGCTCCGACATAACGTGTGAAATGAGTTCATTCCCGCTCACAAGCGCACTTTTGTGTTTATGCATTTTTAGGTTTAAATTTATCCACAATTTCCTTATCACTACACTTTTATGGCTTCGTCACCTTCCTAGTGTCGGCCAGTACAGCTCGATTTGGAGTCCAGGTGTACATTCCGAGTCAGGGTGTGTCAAATTATAAAAAATAAAAATAAAAAAAATAAAAAAAACACTGTACAAGAAAAAGTTAAATATTAAAAACACTGTTTACCATTGTACAGTAAATAGTTAAATATTAAAAACACTATTTATCATTGTTTATATGATGAAAATACCCTTGCTACATTTGATGCATTATTTTGAATTTCTTTTGAAGTTTTTTGTTTGAGGGCATTTCTGTCCAAATCTTTTTGGTGAAGCCCGTGACCCAAAAAAACACTATTCACTAGGTTGTTGGCTTTATATATATTAGCCTTCATGCATGCGTGCTATGTGCGATTGACATGTTTTAAATGAATAATATTAGACCATGCTAGAAGAAACCCCTCATAAACCAATCAAAGCAGCTTGTTGATGCACAAAATCAGTGAGGACTTTGGTACAACAGAAAGTGTCAAGTTTGTGACCTTCGCTAGATTGCTTCGGTCACTAGCGTGGATAAGTATGTAAATGGATAGAGATAGGAAGCAAACACAAAATGTACGTGGTTCACCCAGATTGGCTACGTCCACAGAGTAGAGGAGTTCTCATTAATTGTGAAGGGTTTACACAAGTACATAGGTTCAAGCTCTCATTTTGTGAGTACTAGTGAATGATTTAGTACAAATGACATTAGGAAATATTGTGGGAGAATGATCTCCTTTTATAGAAGAGAGTTTCTAGTTTTGTTTTGACATTGACACGTGTCGTATTGTGATTGGCTTTTGATGTTGACACGTATCTCGCTATGATTGGCTTCTGATGTCGACATGTGTCGCGTTGTGATTGGCCTCCTGGTTGGAGGGAAACTCTTCTGGATCCTTGACGATATAACGTTGACCGGTGCTCAGTAGTTTTAGGATTGGTCAAGTATGATACAAACACAGCTGAATCCACATAATACAATCGGTCTTTCAATTTCGATTTACATTCTATTGAATTTACATTAAGAATAGAGAAAATAATAGTTAATAAACAATTGATTGAATTATATTATTGTTAGCCTATTGTGAGGTACTAATTATAAAAAAAAAATTAAAAAAAACATTGTACCAAAACATAGTTTATCACTGTTTACTACTATACAGTAAATAGTTAAATATTAAAAACACTGTTTATCACTGTTTATATGACGAAAATACCCTTGTCACATTTGATGTATTATTTTGAGTTGCTTTTGAAGTTTTTTGTTTTGGGGGCATTTCTGTCCAGTTCATTTTGATGAAGCCTATGATCCCAAAAAACACTGTTCATTAGGCTGTTGACTTTATATATAAGATGGAGTGGGATCAGTTGCAGCTGTCATGATACCAAGCAAGTCCCCAAAATACCAAAAAAATAAAAAATAAAGTTAGAAATATTAGCCAGATTTTCTATCCCTGTATTGTCACTTGGTATGGTGTAAGAGAGCTAATTTTAACGCGAAAAAATATAGGAGAGCTAATTTTAAATTTTTGAATAAAAAGCTTCAAGAGAGAACTTTAGTAAAAACAACCCTCAATTTAACGGAACAATTGACACAACTAAGTTGAGAGGGAAATTGACATGAATGTAAGTCTATGGGGGCCTCGGAAGCAAATTGAGAGTTCATAAAGTGGAACAATACCTTCAGGGGGTATTGCTACATTTTTCACTTTGTATTTAAACAAATTTTTTTAAAACAATATCGTGATGTACTTGGTAACTTGGGAAATAAATTAACTCTAAATCTGTACATTCAATCTTCTAAGCCAGATTGAATGAATAATCATATGGAAAACATCATATCTCTTGGGTGGATTATTCACTACAAAATGCCTTTGCACCTGCTTCACTCTTTCCTGCATTCTTCGATATTGCTCTTCAGGTATTCCCATTAAGATTTCTTTAAGTTTTGGAATTTCACTCACTGAAACTTGAACAGAAAACGAGTCCCAGTTAAGCACATCACTGAAAGGCAGCACATAGTGTTGTGATATCAAAACTGGAACACAATCTGCATAAATTGCCTCCACAATTCTTGGGCTGGCAACTTCATGTCCACTAGGGCAAATGCAATACTTGCTTTTCTTCAGCATGTCATGGTATGAAAGCTCTTCAGGGAGTTTTTCATAGACCAGTAAATCTCTGTCTTTTCCTTTCCAATGCTCGAAAAGAAATGGCCTAATTCGACCGTGCATTCGTCCTGCAAAAAATGCTAGGATTGTACGTTTGGACGGATGCAAGCCTCCAATTAGACCTGTTATTTCACCAGTTTCCAGATTGATTTCAGGAAATGATGCATCTTTCTTAGGGTTAAAGTGCTCGGATGTATTGGCGTTGCATAGTACACGGATGGCAACGAAGTACAGTTGTTTAACATACCATGTAGCCCTTGGCCCCTATACAAAAGCCAGTAGCAAATTAGTTACTCGACTGTGGATCTGAACAACTGATCATGTGAAATCATACTTTCATACAATATCTTAATTGAATTATATGTAATGATCAATAAATTCTATTTAATTCTACGTCTACATGTATAAAAATTCTAGTAATCTATAATATTTGTTTGAATGTGTGATCCAGATTAGCAATATGGCAATGTGAAATGTTGTACTAATAGTAAAAAATTTACCCAATCATGGCAAGAAAGCATGACATGATCAGCTCCAAGGCTTCTGTTCCAGTATGGATACCTATTAGAGATGATACGAACGTAATCAACCACAGTGCGCTCAAGAACAGCTTTGTCACGAATAATCGGGTGAAACAAATACTCGACGATCATCACAACACTGAATGGCAGAAAATAGACGTGAGCATTTTCAGGCTCTCGAGTCCGGAACTTGGTATCAGTTTCCATGAAGCTAAGGAAGAGTCCCTCCATAGAGTAAATGTTTTTGCAAGGACCGTTATGAAATATAGGCAGCTCTCCCTCTTCGTAGACATATATTTTAAACATTTTTTCCATTAAGAGGTAGCTCCTACATAATTGAAATAAAATGAGACAGAACTGAAGAGTAAGGCAATTTATTTTTCGGACTATTGAAAGATTTAAGGTTCTAGTTATGAGAGTTCAGTACCGGTGAAAGGCATACGCATTCCTGTAAATATCGCCTTTTGGTATATAATCTGCATCTTTAAGAGGTGTTGTATGGTTAAGATTTTTTATTGCTTCCCCAATCAATGCTCTAGCAGCAGCAAGACCAGCTTCAAGTTTCTTCAGGTTTTCATCTCCCTTCTGCCAATCCCTTTGCGGAACAGAATCGCCAATGTATCCCCTTCCAAGATCAGGCAATGCCTTCATCCTTGTTGCATCCTACAAGATTAACTTGGTCAAAACATAAGTGGTAACATCAACCCAAAAAAAAGAAATGGAAGAACAAAATTGGTTACACAAGTTTACACCATAACGAAATTTTACAGAAATTCAAGCACCAAACTTGAATAAGTAGAATACCTTGTATGATGAAATATAGTTGATTCTGAATGTGGAATCAGAAATCATATCTACGCCGGTACCCAACCATGGAAATTGAGACGTTCCTTTCGAACCATTTGTCACAAGACTCACAACCATATAAACTATAGCAAAGGAAGCCATAGCAAACACAATAGCATTTTGATATCTTCTGTAAACCTGCTTCATCTTTCTCTTCCTCTATCAGAAACACACAAGCACACATTACCTTTCAGAACACATAATTCTGTAAATGTCTGGGAAATATATGTATGATTATAAGTAGTTATCAGGTTTTCGCCTTATCAAATTTCACTTGAATAAAATATACCTGATTAACGGCATTTTCTCTCTGAGGTAATGCTATACTGGAATAGAATATGTATCCAGAGCGTTTAAAAGATGCTATACTGGCATCTTCTAACAACCGGTAACCGACATGGAATTTTTGGAGTGAACGGTAAGATAATTGTATAAAAATTTGGTACACTTCAACAAATCAAGGGAAAAAAAAAATCACAGAACGAGTAATGATTTGTATAAAATGACCTTAATTATACATTAAGATTTTGGCTACAATATTTAGATGTATTTAATACAATAATCATTTGACAGTCAGATATAAATCATGTGAATATATGGACAGATGGATGAAGGGACTAGTAATGTCCATCCCCATCCTCACATTATTACTTACGGTGCAATCCAGAGACTCCAAAGTTATTCTCGTTCCCTTCATATATTTTGTCAATCTCAAATAACAAATCAATTCAACAAACAATAAGATTTATAAAAGTATTGGCCATAATTTTTTTTGGTTTCTCCTCTGCTCTACCTCTTACTTGAGTGCTAGGGTTTCTATATTTTTTATTGATAGAATTTTCCTATTAACCTTAATAAGTCTTTCAAATGGTTAATAAATAATTTTGTAAATACTCTCCGTTTAATTCCTTTTTATATTTGGAAGAAGTTCATCCTCATATAAAATTTTGGTTCCGCCACTATATAAATATATGTATTTAATGCTCGAAAACTTAATTTCAATCATGTGGTATCATGCAAGAATTAAAGAAGGTTTTGTTATTTACTCCTGGTCCTGATTCTTCAAGCACAAGATAATTAATAAGATTTGGAGATGCTCGATGTGACATCCCACATCGCCCAGGGAAGTGATCCTTAAATGTATATTCTCATCCCTACCTAGCACGAGGCCTTTTGGGAACTCACTGACTTCGGGTTCCGTAGGAACTCCGAAGTTAAGCGAGAAGGAGGCCAGAGCACTCCCAGGATGGGTGACCCACTGGGAAGTTGCTCGTGAGTTCCCAAAAACAAAATCGTGAGGACGTGGTCGGGGCCCAAAGCGGACAATATTGTGCTACGGTAGTGGAGCGGGCCCGGGAAGTGATCCGCTCCGGGCCGGGATGTGACACTCGAGACCACTGTCATTTGCATAGTTGTATTTTGATGTTTTATTTTATCCTTTTATTTTTATTTTAATGTATTAATTACATTTAAATTTAATTTTAAGCGGACAATATTGTGCTACGGTAGTGGAGCGGGCCCGGGAAGTGATCCGCTCCGGGCCGGGATGTGACACTCGAGACCACTGTCATTTGCATAGTTGTATTTTGATGTTTTATTTTATCCTTTTATTTTTATTTTAATGTATTAATTACATTTAAATTTAATTTTTATTTCATTCATCATAATATATTTTAATGTCTACATTTAGGCAACTAATTTTTTTATAATATATATTCCGATAACAATTTTGTATGTTCTTTATTTAGGTACATTAATACATTTGAATATTTTGGTATATCCATCGATACAAACATGTAGTTACATTGATTCAATATAATGCATTTTGGTCAATATAATGTATTTCGTTACGTACACTTTGGTACACACATTTGAGTATTGACTTTTAGGTACATTAATTCAATTATTATATTTCGGTAAATACATTTAGGTACATACATTTTGGTATTGATATTTAGGTACATACATTTTTGGTATTGACATTTAGGTATATACATTTCAGTATTGACATTTAGGTACATTAATTCAATATAATACATTTCGGTATATACATTTAGGTTCATTATAATATATTTCGGTACAATCATGTAGGTACAAATATTTCGGTACAAAAAAGTCAATTTTATATATTTTGGCACAATTATTTCTGAACACTTATGTATTTATATATTTTTGTATCACAATTTTTTTTTAATATTTTCTCATTTAAATTCATTTCTAATTAAAAAAAAAACTAAATATGTGCATATTAATAAAATTAAAATTTAATATGGAGAGATTAAATAAAAATACACATTAAATAACAAAAATTGAATGTAAATTTTGATAAAAGTACACTCAAGGGATTAAATTGAATATTTAGCATCAGGTTTTTTTTTTAAATTTTAATCTTTTACAAGGATTAATGTTCAAAAACCCCAATAAATTATTATCTTCGTGAAAACTAGACAACACAAACAATCGTCCAAGCAAGGGCAACTCAATAATTTTTATTTCAAATAATTTTAAGCATCATAAACTGTTAGAAAACGAGATTCCCTATCGTCGTTCACCTCAACGGTATTGGATCTCGCAACAATTAAATGGTTCACAGTCATCAACGTACATGATCAGTAATTTCTTCAATATTAAGAATCTACACACCTGATAAGTCGAGATCTGATAAGTGGACCGGGCAGGAACATATAGATGTCTGGGCAGATGCCTTTTACTTCATGCATACTTAAAAAATCTGACACACACTTGTACGACAACAATAAGGCAAGGAGATAGCAACAAGAGATAATAATAGAGTTTATTATTCAACGACTAGCCCAAATGTTGATGAAAGACCTGGCTTCAAGTCTTTCTATTATTTATGGCTCTTCTCTTACTATGAATCTTGATAAGCTTTCATGCACGCATGTGAAAGACTTGGCTTAAAGTCTTTTTATTATTTGTGGCTCTTCTCTTACTATTATTTGTGGCTCTTCTCTTACTATGAATTTTGACAAGCTTTCATGCACGCATGTGAAAGACTTGGCTTCAAGCCTTTCTATTATTTGTGGCTCTTCTCTTACTACGAATCTTGTGCTCATGCGCGTACAGAAGACATTTTTTGAATCACGACGTGCTACGTGCGATTTACACGTTTTAAATGTATTTATATACGTTAATTGACAAAAGAAAAGTTAAATATTTGAAGTAAATGAATAATCTTAGATCATGCTAGAAGAAACCCCTCATAAACCAATTAAAGCAGCTGAATCCACATAATAAAATCGGTTTCTATTGAATTTATCTTAAGAAGATAGAAAATAATATTTAATAAACAACTGATTAAATCACATTATTGCTAACTCATTGTGAGGCTAAGCTCACTCCCCTCTCCCTAAGTGTAGATAATATTGTTTGTTAAAAAAAATCATTTAACAACTAATTTAATCACATTATTATCCGCATGCGAAAGACTTTTTTTATAACCGGGCATTACACGCCTCTTAAGATGTTTTGAACGTCTTTAAAAATAAAGGAAATAATATTTAATTAACAACTGATTAAATCACATTATTGCTAGCTTATTGTCAAGTACTAATTATTAAAAAAAACATGTACAAAAAAAATTTATTTATTAAAAAACACTATTAAAATGACAAAAATACCCTGCCACATTTGATACATTATTTTGAGTTACATTTGAAGTTTTTTGTTTGAGAGACATTTTTATCCAGTTCTTTTTTTTTTTTTGGGTGAAGCTTATGACACCAAAAAATATTGTTCATTGAGCCCTTGACTTTATATATAAAGATAAGTCCTAAAACAAAAGGGAATATGAGAGAACTCTAAACTCCATTGTATAAGAGAACAAGTGACAACCATAAAAGATGTTTAAATAACTACTACCATCAATTGATGATGTCATTAATGGTAAGTAATGGTGCGAACAAATATTGAAGCTATTTTCACTAACAGGTCATTTTAGGGTGCATTTGTTGCACCACACTATCTCGAACTGGACTAACTTCAGGGATTAAACTGGATTGGTTTTGAATGGACTAAGTAGTATAAAGATAATGAAACATTTGGTGCAGTGTCAGACTAAATCAGAGATTAAATTATTTTAGAGTTAAAAGACTTTTTTTTGTCATTTTTAATATTTTATTATTGTTAATACACACTTTTTTTATTTGACTCTCTCCCCCAGTCTCACCACTTTTTTTCTTTGGTTTGCATTCTATTCTTCGAAAGCGCATATTTGCTCCCACTAATAATCAAACCCAGAAAACTCTCTCTTCCTTTCATTTGCTTTCTCTACAATTAAAACCCATATTTCTCTTCTTTTAATTCACTTTCCCTTCAAATCAAATCCAGAAAAATCCCTTCTTTTTTTTTTCAATTTGCAGAGGCTCAGATCGTTGGATCTGTAAATCGGCGACATACTTGCAGACACATCTTCTTGGCGGAGTGCTTGGCGGCCTCAAGGAGGACGCGACGGTCGGTGGCATGTAATCTGGAGCTGCGGGCAAGGCATATGAGAGAGCTGGAAATTCGAAGGAAATTATGGAGAAGCTTTACAAAATTATTATAAGCTATGCGATTAGAAACTTATCCTAATGATTGAAGTTATATACTATAACATAGGCCTTATCCACACAAGTAACCGAGAAAGGTAACTAATGTGGAAAGTAGCCATCGTGTTTTAAAATTGAGATTATTTCATTTATTTCTTTGTCAGAAAGCAGCCCTTAGGGAGCGGGGCTTTTTTTTATTGAAATGGGGGAGTTTCGGGAACAAAGCTCGGCCCAGATTTTAAAGAAAAGCCCTACCCTATATGTAGGGGTAGTATCATTTCCCTATCTAAGTATATCAACATAGCCAACTGAAAACTCATCGCTTGTCAGTTTTCTTGGTGTAATACTCACTCGTAAATGATTGGTGTCATAATTTTTCACTGATCAGGTGTGATCGGTCTCATCCCTGTGATTGCAAGTTGAGGAAGAAGAAAAGCTTAATGGCAGCAGGTTCGGGATTTGTGGAAGACGAAGAGGAAGATGACTGAGGAAGTTGAAGCCTCAGCACATTGATGAAGCGAAGCAATGATCTTAGCAATCTCATCCTTCTTGCCCTGCCTCGCTAAGCCTAGCTAGTGAAAAGTTTAGTCGGAACGAGTCCAAGCTAGTCCCATTAAACTTAGTGTTGGCATGCACCAAACAAAGATTAATATTCTTAGCTAAGCCAGTCCAGTGAGACTTAGTGAGTGCAAACAAACACGCTCACCAAATGTAGTCCATAGTCAACACTAACTTTGTCTAGTTAAAGGGGATCAATTTAGAAATTTAGAGCTCTATAAATGATATGGGAGTTAAATCCCGCTTCAATACTTGTCCAGGTTATCATTTAATGTTGGTGACCTAACAAGTCTTCATTTTTCAAAATATTATGTAATTATTTGAAATGTTTTACAAATATGAGATCAATTTAAAATCATCTCTAAGTTGAATTGTTATTTGTACTTAACCCTACAATTAAATGAGCATTTCAAAAATGGCCAAAATTTAAAAATCAAATGATGCCAATGCAGGGGGTGTGGTTTGTTTTTGTCGTATAAGCCCAAATCGAAAACCAGAGCCCAATTTCAGATATCTGAGAACCATTTTTCTTGGACTTACACTTACCAGCTGCCACCAAAATCTTGTCCGCACCAAAATACAATGCTGCATCTCTAAAATCTAATGCAGGAAACATGAAATCTCAAAGTTTCAACTATAAAAGAAGAGTCATGCTAGGTAGATGTTGATTGAAACATTAAAACCACCATTAATGTATAACAGAGAAAGCTTGAAGATATAGAAAGCTAAGAGAGGGAAAACTTTCACAAAGACTTGTCATGGTAAGAAAAAAGGTAGGAATAAGCACACTTGGAGAGCGTAATACAATGATGAGTTGTATACGTGTTCAGGAAGTATGAATTGCTTCTAAAAAAGAACTATTGATTCTTTCCCAATTGGTAGGACCATAGATTTGTCAAGAATGAATCACTATTGACCTTATTCCTTTCATATGGTATTTATAGCTCATTACATAAAGCAAACTTGCAATTACACTACTTAAACTAACTTAAGATAACATATCATTTCACTTTAACTGATGTGTCACTACTATTATCTATTATAGCCTCCCTCAGTCTCATGTTAGGATTATGTAACATGTTCATAATATATGCAATTTGATTGGAACTAGAGACATGATAAATCACCAACTCTATCTTAAGAACATGCTCATGAATGAAATGGACATCCACCTCGATGTGTGTACTACGACTATGAAAGATGGGACTATGAGCTTAGGCTTGCAAAGATATTTACAGCTCATTACACATAGCCGTGCTACCCTTCACTTCATGGCTGTCAAACCATACTCAAGTATCTTTTTATTTGGCAGGGATATTTGGAGTAGAATTCTCTCTTATTTTTTTTTCCCTTCTCTTTCCTCTTTTTCTATTTAAACAGTTACGGTTATGCCGCGTTAACATTTTATATTAATTTTTTATAAAAAGAAAAAAACAAAATAAAGAAAGTGAGAGGAGGATATAGAAAAAGAAGAAGAGAGAATCCTAGTCCGGAATATTTTTCCACTTCAGGCTTTATCAAAGACAATCTTGTACGAACCCATATGCAAATTTCAAGGCTTCGTTTTCTACTTTAAGGTCTCGTTTGGCATACCATATAAGACATCGGATAATATTAATATTACGAAATACAGTGAATACCCGCCTCCTTAGTCCTTACTCTCCAAACCCACGGGGCAATTTAGTCGCTCTCTCCTTCCTCTCCAGGCGCACACTCGTCCTCTCCAGACGCTCTCTCTGCCTCTCGCGCGCTTGCTTTCTCATCTGAATCCAGGTTCGTCTTCTCAGAGGCCTTCTTCTTCTTCGTTTTCCATCCTATCCAGTTCATCTTCTCATTTTTCTTCTTCTTCCCAAGTTCCTCCCTTCCCTCTGATCTTCTATCTCCTCCTATTTTTCTTGCAATTTTCTTTCAATTGATTGAATCTAGTTATTGTTTTCTCTCTAATTATGCAATTGATTATGTAATTTTGTGTTTTAATTAGAACTTTCGAATTTTATGGTTTGCTGTTGGGGTCGAATTTTAGATTTGTTGTTGGGTTTTTCAGCTTGTGTTTTGTGTGATTGTGTGTGTTGTTTGTAGGTGTTGTCATGGCATCTAAACGCATCATGAGGGAGCTCAAGTATTTGCAGAAGACCCCCTACCTCATGCAGTGCTGGTATTTGCTCCTTTTCCTTGAACTTGTCTTTTTATTAAATTTGGATCCCATATATAAAATTGTATTAGAATTGTAGATGGTAGTTCTAATTGAGGCTAATTAGCGGGGTTTTTTCGATAATTTCAACTGTTTGCAGCTCAGATTTTTAGCCAAAAATTGGCCCCTTTTCATCAATTGAACAGAAAAGAAAAAAACTGAAATTTTGCCCTTTGCTTCATCGATTAGGAAATAAAGATGTAGCAAATTTGTGGATGGTCCATTTGGGAGCGAAACAATCCTCCTTTAATGGTTTAACTGATGTAAAAAAGTGATGGTTAGATATTATCACAATGTAGCTGGTTTTGTATAGGTCTCGTATGCTGGCTCATGCATCTTATGTTTCTCGGGTATATGTATATTTTGATCACTTTACTGAACTTGGCATACATCAATTCATTTCCCTCCAGATTATCCATTCAAGCCTCCAAAGGTACAAATAGAAAAACCGGGTCCTCATGTTTCTATATGTTGTTGTGGTCATGTTCCTCCATACAGTATCATTATTGAAACATGAGCTTTTGTGAGTCATATAATGGGTGAAATGGATACCTGCACATAGTCTTTAGTTATCTATTCATACATGCAGGTGATATATATTTTGGCTACTTGAAAAGCAGCATGCATATCTTTTGTTAAAAGTTGTAGCATGCATATATTTTGTGTACTTGGACAAATTGCTTCTTACTGAAAGCAAAGCAGCAGCATGCATATATTTTGGCTATCTGGACAAACTGTTTCTTACTGAAACCAACTTGCATTTGTATATTTTGTGAACTTGGATATGTGGTTGGATTAATCTATATAACGTAACGACTGTAGTTGTGTTTTGTGAACCTTCTTTTATGTTATTGGAAAATATTTTGAATTTGATGTATGAAATTTACTATTTTTCTTTGTTATTTGAAAATTTGTGTGGTTTTGAATAGGTATAAATATGAGAAAAGTTCAACAAACACAGATTTTTCAATTTTTTTTTCTTCCCTTTTCTTATCTGGTTCAGTACCAAACACAATATAAATAATACGATCATTAGTTTAATACTGCACCAAACACTCGACTAATTTAGTTAGTACCATCCGATGTCTATTTATCCTATTCGACAAAAATAGTCAATACAGTTTGCCAAACGATGCCTAAGATTTATTAAAGTATAATGTTAGAGATATTAAATTTTTATATCAAATTTGTCAATAATAAAATATAAATACATTAAACAACACTCATTTAATAATTTAATTATCTATAATCATATAATTTGATTTCAAATTTGATAGAAAAAATTTGGTAGTACCTTATCAAAGACACTTCGATGTCTCTGGTTTTTTATCTGGGCTTTTGCTTGTTTTTTGTGATTTAGGATTCTCTTTCTCATCCGGGTAAGTGCGAAATCTCACTTGCAGGGCTCCAACGGCGATGACAAGCTCAACCACCCACAAGCTCTCTCTTTTTCTCTCATCTATTCCGACTGATTCTCACAGCTCGGGGTCCGATTCTAGCTTTCTTAGGAAATTGTAGTTTTGGTTAATTTACTTTAATCTAGAATTTGAGGATAAATTTGAAAAGAGTTCAAATCTGCAAGGGGACGGCGACCCCAGGAAGACCCACTACACGCTGGGGTCTGTAAGACGAGGTGTCGTGAGAGGTTGTCTCTGTTGGGTCTTAAAAAGACTTCATTACTTTGGAGATGTTTATCTCACAAAGAAAAATGTAATGGAGCGAAATTCCTCCTAGCCACAAGTTTTGTGGTTCTAGATATTTCTACTTGCAAGCCTACTTAAATATTGCAAGAACTCCAAATTTTTTTTAGTATGCATGCCTAATGCACCGACAACCTTTTGCTAGAATTTTCTAGCACATTTTATGAGTTTTCTATGGGCTGGATAATCTTCTTGGGCCAGGAACAAGATTACATTTCAACAGTCTTAAGGGCGGCACTTGAGTATAGGAACTTGCATGAAATAGCGGAAAGGGAGGAGAAGGAGAAGGAGGAGGGTTTTGATAGGGTGTGATTAGGAGACCGTGACGAAGGTATTATTGGAATGTAGAAAGTTTCATTAAACATCACTATTCATTTGCATGTTTTAGAAAAAAAGAAAAGCAAAGAAAAGAAAAAGTAGCATTTAGTTGCTTCGGCCTTTCTGCTTTTATTCACAACTTCCAAAATAATGAACTTAGTTTAATTTCACCAAACACCTTAAACACAAACAATTATAAAATAAGATGTTTTTTTCTTAAGCAAAACAGCCTTAAACCAGTACTAAATGTAATATATTGCAATCCTCCTACCAAGCTCCGAAACAAGAACGGATCAGCAAGAGGTTCTCCTGAGTTTTGCTTCTGGAAGAAGAGGAGTTGCACAAGGTTTTCACACGGTCATACCAGCTTTCGACAATATCCGGCCATCAGCACAAAAATTACAAACAAACTGCAAATTTAAACAAGCGATAGCCGAGGTCAGTGAAGCAGTGGAAGAAAAACGGAAAACAAAAAGTAATTTTAGTTGTCCTATATGGCATTTAAAAATAGTTCAATTGTAACAAATCCTAAGCAGTTCATCCTGTTCACTGTTTGTATGCTTAATCTGCAGATAATCATCGAAGAGTATTCTAGGTTGGATACTGGCTGTTAAATGCCATTAATTCTAAAATTCTAAAGTTACAGTTGATAATCATCAAGAAATTAGATAGAATTTAGTCCTGAAAAGGATAGAAAGAAAACAACAAATAATAAAACACACAATTACCTAATGCATGTTGAATATGATGATCAAAGTATTAAGGAGCGTAACAAGAAAACTTGACTACTTGACAATAGTCACTAACATCAGTTGTACAAAACGAGTTGGAACAAAAAAAGCCATATGAGGGGCTAATGCCCATCATAGTTAGTAGTATACGGAACGGGTATAGTACGTGAATACACTAACGTGTATTTTTGTGCAACTAAAGTCAATTGCAACTGAAAGCTAGTACGGGTATTGGGACAAGGACAGAATACGCATACCAGCCTCCAAGGATTGAGCAGCAGCCGTTGTCATCATCTACTTGGCGTGAAGGAGGTGGGGTTGGGGGAGCTGGAGGGTCATCATCATCTTGGCAGGAAGGAGGTAAGGGTGGAGAAATTCTTTCCTCCGGAACCTGGAGGCAGTGGGCCATGGAGTGGTGTGAGGGCGGGTTGGGATCATTACATGGGCTAGTGGTGGGTCTCAAAACAAGAGGTGGTGGGTCATGTGGGGGGTTTTGTGTCTTAGGTTCGCACCGGCTCGTGGTCTGGATGCCAGACCCAAGAATCTCTCGTAAGGGTGGACTTGGAGGAGCTGGAGGACAAATGTAACCCTGATAGCCAGGTGGTGAAGGGACATCACTAAAAATGCTGGTTGTCGAATTACAAACAGAAATTTCAGAACTCGCATGTTTGAGAGAGAATTTGGAGGTGTAACATTCCTTGTTTGTTAGAGGAAACGTTTTGTTGCTCTGGATGCCGCCACCTCTCTTATTGTGGTAGCCAGGGTAGTCCGATTTGTCGAACCACACTTTCTCTTTCAAAAACAGGCCTGCTTTCTCAGCAAGCTCCTTCAACTTCCATTGATCATACGGGTAGTCTACCCTGTGTGAAACATGAATTTCACCACCTTTGCTGAGCATCCCGCGGGCGCTTTTGAAAAACGCTTTTAACAAATGTCTGTGCAATCTAGCTCCATTGAAGCTCCAAATTAATCACTTATGATAAAGAAATCCAGTAACTAATAGTTATAATATGGATAGAGATTAGAGAGAGATTAAAGGATCAGCATTATGCTATATAACTGCCCCTGCAGCCTCACCATTGCATAAACATTAATCAGTTTTGTTTTTTTTGGTTACACAGGCATCACTGGAGAGCATGTCGGAACAAGGCATGTCACAAAAGATGAAGGAAAATTTTGTCACTTACTCTATAAGCTCCTCGTCGGTTTCGATTAGCCGATGGTAATGACCTGCATGAGGAAAGTTGAATATGATAACATCAAATTTCATAGACTTCAGTGTGGGATGACGGTCCATGACATATACATTGACTTCATACAACACCAAGCACCCTCTTCTCTCCAACTCCTCCAAATGTGCCTCACTGCTGAAATGCTCAGTCAATATAGTATCTGAAAGTTTTCAAGAAAATTAATTAATTCATGTAAAACAAATTTAAAAAGATGAAGGTAACGGCTTTCTGTTTGTTACGTGCATCCAAGGAGTCCATATATTTTACCTTCGGATTCGAGAGTCGTAGCAACCATGTTCGCGGCGGAGCGAAATGCTCTAGCCAAACAGGCAGAAAATGAGAAGTCTCCCTCACCAACCAAGAGTATTTTGTGAGAGCTAGAGTAGTGTCCTATCCATCTTTGTTTCTTACCCATGCTTGATTTTTGCTCAACTTCCTTTAAAAATTATATGCTTTCTCTTTGAACCATTTCACTTACTCTCTTAAAGGTGATAACAGAGACAGAGGAAGAGTTTATTGTTAGAATTCCCTCCTCATGAAATTAAATGCCCATCTTTAACGTGCAGCTGTCTAAGAAGCAAAATCCTTGGACAAAGAAAGGTCTTTCCAGTTTTCAAGAACTGAGTAAATGTAAAGCAGCCCAATATTGATCGCTTTGTCTATCCACTTCCATAGTTTTCTACAAGGGAGTTGATTATGAATATTTATAGGTTGGTTAGCCTGTAGCTCTTCGACAGAAGGTTAGTAACAGAAAAATAGTGAGTTCATCCAAGAGTTTGTGAGTGCTCTTGAGTCAGTCAACCTCTTGAGTCAGTAACAACTTAAGAGAGAGGGAGTTTTGAATCTAGAACGCATAAGTGGAAACTAAAGACCTTATCCACTAGGAGATTAGATTATATGCAACGATCTAGTACATTTCTCTCAACTTGTAAATGATAGATGATAAGTTTGAATCTCATAAATAACAAGTTCAATTCCAATTTATTTTTCAAACCTTTTTTTTTACTATAAAAAATATCCCACCATATATTTATGACAAACTAATCTCTTGATATAGTTTTTTATTTTTAATTTTTTAAGAAATCTCTCGATATAATTTGGTACCGCATAAAACGGTAAACTTTTGCCTTTCAAGTAAAAACGGTATGCCAAAACTTTTGCCTTTCAGTAGAGATAGTTGGCTTTGGGCTTGCAGGTCATTTGGCCCTTTTGGGGGCTCTTCCTTTTTGTTCCCGCCGAACGCGTGACGATACCCCAAGAAAGCGGTGTCGCGTGTCGTTGTCTCAACGCTCTCCCTCACGAACCCGTCGTTTGCCACGTGCCCGCCTCACATCCCCTTTGTCCCGCCACGTAACGCCTCCTTACCTGCACTCCGTCAAATCAAATACCTTTTCTCTCACTCTCTCTCACTCTCTCTCTCTCTCTCTCTCTCTCTCTCGCTTTATTAAATTCAATTTTTTTTGCCAAAAGTTATTACTTAGATCGTGCAATGGAGGTTCCTGTGCATTTTGTGGGGAAGCTATGGAGTTTCATCTCCTTTCTGCCCTTCTTTTTCTTGCTCTTCATCCTTGGCCTTGTCAAAGGTAATTAACCACACATAGTTATTGCTAATCACTGTGTTTACATCTGCTATGAACGATATGTACATATTAGTCAATATATGTCTATGCATACTGAACACAAATTATATATCTACTTTATGTCCATGATTGCATGCATATACATAAATATAGAATCTGTTTCTTCCCATACCAATACTTGGTCAATAATATTGTTATTATTGATACTTTGATCTATTTTTTAATTAAAACAACAATTTCACCTTTTCTTTTTAAACCTTTATTCTTTCCCTCCCCCACCCCACCCACACCAGGCCTCAAACCTAGGACCTACTCTACCCCACCCCTCACCCACACCCTCACCAGTAGGCTATTCCTAGTGGTTTAACAACAATTTCACTTTTAATCTAGCATTGAGTTCATTCTATGACCTATAAGTTATATTACTGATATTGTTGATATTTTAACCGTTGGAGTGTGTTAGCATATTGTTGATGTTGTTGATAAATTGAACTATTCTTTTTAGAAGTGTAGTTCAACTTGACAAGAAAAATCCTATCAATGAATGTATATGGTATGGATGCAAGGGGATGGATGGAGTTGATTGGATGGGTTTGCCAATTTATAGGTGATATATATATATATATATATATATATATGTGTGTGTGTGTGTGTAAATTAGTAACAGTGTAGGTTTTGCTTGGCAGCTGCAATCATTGGGCCAGTGGCGGCGGGAATTATCGTGATTGGAAATTTATCTGTAATTGCTGGCCTTTGGATAGCTCATTTCATCTGGACTTACTACTGTGTAGCAAAGTATGCTTACCTTGTACTAATCTTTATGATTATGAACCGACATTATAAATGTTTTTATCGTTCTTCATACCATTTGCTTTGACATTTCCAAATTTTCATAGCCCTACTGTTTCCCTAATTATTTCAGGAGCAAGAGGCTTGGGCTTGTGTTGAAGATCCTTGTGCTGTTATTGCTGCCATTGCCTCTTGTCCTTTGGCCGGTCCTCGGAGTTGTTGGAAGTGTTTTAGGTGGGATCGGATATGGGTTTTTTGCTCCCCTTCTTGCAACATTTGAGGCTGTTGGCGAGAATATAACCGACAAGTTCTATCATTGCTTTGTTGTATGTCTCCTTTCTCCTTGGATTTTTTATTTTTTTTTGGTAAATGGTTTTTTGTTTTATTTTTGATAATGTATTCGGAGGGGCCATTTGAACAATAATAACATCCAGCGCTATGGGGGATTTTCATGATTTGTATCAAATGCATGTCCCTAACAAATTGTTTGTATGGAGCTTTCATTCTCGATTATAGTAAGGTCGTAGCAATTCATGTTGGCAGCTTATGTTTTGTGTACTAGGATGGTTCTTGGTCGACAATCAAAGGAAGCTTCGTGGTTGTGCAGGATCTCACAGATTTCTGCTTCCACTCTTACTTCTCCTTCATGGATGAGCTAATTGAGCAGATACCTGCGGATGAAAAGCCTTTGGATATCGAGTGAGAAACTTTACTTTTTAAACTCGTCAATTACTTGTTAAAAGAAATTACATAGATGGACATTCTGAAAATTTTGGTTTCACTTGGTAGGTTATTGAAATTGCCAGCTTCTTTGTTGGTGAGTCTGATTGGAGTGCCGGTGGATGTGCCTTTGATTACAATGGTTGCGATATGGAAAAGCCCATACATGTTGTTCAGAGGATGGAAGAGGTTATTTGAAGACTTGATAGGCAGAGAAGGACCATTCTTGGAAACAGTATGTGTACCATTTGCTGGTCTTGCCATTATCCTATGGCCTTTGGCAGTTGTGGGAGCCGTGGTAGCTTCTTTCATCTCTAGCTTCTTTTTGGGACTATATAGTGGCGCTATTGCTTATCAGGTAGGCCGATTAGTTACCTCTTATGATAATTTTGTTGTGTTTGAGCATACTATTGGAACTTCTTAGTATGCGGATAGGTTCATTTTTCGTAGGAAAGAAGTTTTCCTTAATATGATGTGTGATTTTTCAGGAAGACTCGATCCACCTTGGACTTGCTTTCATAATTTCTGTGGTTTCACTGTTCGATGAATATGTGAACGAACTACTCTATTTGAGAGTAGGGTCTTGCTTTCCAAGGTACATCAGGGATCCCCGTCCTTCTTGTAGACTTCATATGAATGATTGCCCTAGTGAAATGTTTTGTCCAAAAATAAGGAATTTTACTTTCCATTAGGCCATTACAGCTTGAAGTCTTTTAATTTGATCATGAGACATATCTGTGACAGCTAGGCCAATATACCGTAGAAATATGAGTCCTCGCCCGGAGGGGAAAAAGTATGGTAACAACGAGAAAAATGATTTGGAGAATGGTGGAGAAGGCTCATATAAATCAAAACTTGTCGCACAACGATCAAGAACATGGAAGCAGGCAATTCAACGTTATAAACCAATCCAGGTAAGGAGTTGCCAAAATACAAATGTAATCAACATGGACTCGAGTTTATCTGTCATTTTTATGTGACAAAATATTTTTGTTATTGTCAAAGGTGTGGGGCTGGCTGTTTAAATCTTGTGAGATTAATGGCCGGATATTCCTCCGCGATGGTCTGATAGATGTTAAGGACATAGAAGAATGCCTTATAAAAGGAAATTGTAAGAAGTTGGGGATCAAACTACCTGCTTGGTCTGTGATGGAGTGTCTTCTTGCATCAGCGAAGTCGAACTCGTCTGGGTTGGTCATATGTATGCTATCTGACTTAGATCTTTTATTCTTTGCTTAATTGATATATGTTACCTTGAGCTTAATCACAGTTAATTCTAATTTGAATCCCATAGCTGATGATGTAGAGTTGACGAAGGCAAATGGACCGAGGGACAAAGTGTTCGAGTGGTTCATCGGACCTTTGTTGGTCATGAAAGAGCAACTAAAGAATCTCCAATTGGAAGCGAACGAGGAAATGAGTCTCAGATACGTGTTTATGAAATCCAGAAATGATACACCATGGGAATGGGACGATACAGAGTTTCCATCGGGAGACCATGTCAGACGGGCGCAGTTGCAAGCCATATTTAGGAGGTGCGCACATTCATTTCATTATATAAATTGCTCTAGCCCCGATTGTGTTAGATATTCAGATCATCATGTCATTAACGTTGATCATTCTCGTGCGCATGATCAAGTCCGTGCTTGTTTTCTTTAGTTGTACGCTACCTCAGAAGCAAATAAAACTTTGACAAGCTGTTTTGTATCAGATTGCAGGGGCTTGTAGCGTCGATGTCAAGGATACCAACTTTCAGACGGCGGTTCAAGAACTTGGTGAAAGTGCTGTATATAGAAGCGGTTCAGGCTGCTGCTTCAGACAGCCATATAGGAGGAATCTTAAACCCCGGTAAGGGTGCCAGTAGCGTCATTGGAAGCAAGGATAGAAGAGATGGTGAAACTATGGACAGAGGCCGGAACGATACACCCGACAACGGGTCATATGGGATAATGGGAGTGTAGTATGAATGAGTTCTTTTTCAAACTACCCTTCCATAGAAATGGAAGCTTCGCATGTCTAACGACTCTCTATTTCGAGTTAAATTTTAGCTAAAAAGACGGAAAGTTAGTTTAGGAGCTCGCTACGAAATTTTAACTTCAACCATATTCTAATTTAGGGAGTAGTGATAATTCCGAGCCAATAGGAATATTTTAAATATTGTTAAATTGTAATAAATAACGATAGGAGCTCATTGTCATTCCTCACTCTTTAGATTCAGTAGCTCCTAGGGGTTTTTCGATTTTCAGAGTATAATAAATTCAATTCGGTTTTTTCAGCTTCGGTTTAGTTTTTTCGAACCCACTCCTACCATCTACTCATGTTTTTAAAGAGGGTAATGTTAGGAAAACTAAATTTGAAGTTAAATTTTCAAACTAAAAAATGTGTTAGCAATAGGAATGAACATGTTTAATAACGTTTATATAATAAATTAATCATCAACTTTCATGTTCTTGTTGCAGTCTTAGTAGATTAGGAATGTGATTGTGTAAATCCTAGTATATCTTGGAATATCTCTTATATTCCTATTAGGGAGTTGATTACCTGTTAAAGAGTTGTAATCCTAAAAGGGTAAGGAATTAACCTTTCATACTACTATAAATAAAGACATAATGGGGTGGAATAGAACATACCTCACAATTACACATCTATATCTTCTTCTCTCTATATTGCACATTCTCTCTCTATATGACCTCCATAATTGTTCAGTAATTATGCATACACCACATTATCAGTGTTGAATTATAAGTTATGAGCTGATAGGATGAATTTTATGGTTTAAATGGTGTATCCACTTGTGCTTAGAATGCCAAGTGTAAAGTTTTGATTTGTAAAGGCCATGAGAGCCATGTGAATTTCCTTTGATTTGATTACTTGTTAGATGTGTGGCTATGATCTAATCTAGGAGAGAGAACAGATCCAACTGTCCCTAACAATCATTTTCTTTACCTCACGACCTGTGTGAGAAAGAAAGATATATATCAAAAATCTAAGAAAGCACCTCTACAACTTGTAAAAGGAGAGAAGAAACCATTTTCTCAATTTTATCAACTTTTTTGAATCCATTCAACATAAGAATAATCACAAGTTTGATTCAATCTAACATGGCCTCAGAGCCAGGTTGCGATTAGAACTGGGCGTGCATTGTGAATTCAAACATCACCGGCGTTGGGTTTTCTGGGTTCGCATAAGCTCGCGATGGCTGGATTTGGGAGTGCCTCACTCCGATTTTCACCGATGAGAACTACGAGTTCTGGAGAATCAAAATGGTCACCATTTTCAAGTCACATGGACTATGAAATCTGGTGGAAAAAAGAATTACGACTCCCGATTCGAAGAAGACGAAGGCGAAGACTGATGAAGATACAGACGCTGATGGTGACGATGATGAGAAAATGGCTACAATCTTCATGAAAGATGCAAAAGCTCTCGACATCATTCAAAGCGCAGTCTCTGATCAGATTTTCCCTCGAATCACAAACGCAGACTCAGCAAAAGTGGCGTGGGATCTGTTATATGGTGAATATCATGATGGGGAGCAGGTAAGGTCTGTGAAACTTCAAAATCTTAGACGAGAATTTGAATACACTAGAATGCGTGATGATGAATCCTTGTCTGGACATCTTACTCATCTAAATGATCTGATTAATCAAATGAAGACGTTTGGTGAAACTCTTTCAAATGAGAGATTAGTTCAGAAGGTGTTAATTAGTCTCACTAAGATGTATGATCCTATATGTTTAGTGATAGAAAACACCAAATGTTGGGAATCTGTTGAGCTGCAAGAGGTACTAGCTATATTGAAGAGTCAAGAACAGAGGTTTGATTTGCACTCATCTGATGCAACTGAGAGAGCATTTTCTTCTCTTACTGTTAATCCAAAAGGACAGAATCGAGGGTATGCTCAGTCTAGTACATTTAAGCCACAAAGAAATTATAATCAGAAGGGTAAGAAGTGGGACTCAAAACCTAAGTTTCAGCAAAAGCCATTTGTTAATGCTGCACAAAATGTTACTTCTGCTCAAATCATGAGTCAAGAGGGTACAAAACCTTAGTGCAAGGTGTGCTCCAAATTTCATTATGGTGAATATAGGTATAAGGGGAAATCTAAGTGTTATAACTGTGATAGATTTGGGCACTGGGCCAAAGAATGTACTGTTGGAAAAGCTGTTCAGAAAGCAAACTGTGCAAATCAAATGGAAGTGACTGGAAACTTATTATATGCAAATTGTGTTATTGCTGAATCAAAAGTTAATGGGGAATGGTATATTGACAGTGGCTGCAGCAACCATATGACAGGGAATGTTGATCTCCTTGTTGATATGAAGACCGATGTTGCAGGGAAAGTTCAAATGCCAACATGAGTGTTAGTGAATGTGGCAAGAATGGGATCACTAACAATTGAAACTAATAAAGGGAGGAAATACATCAAAGAAGTCATGTACTTACTTGGTTTAAAGGAGAATCTACTGAGTGTGGGACAAATGGATGAGCACGAATATTATCTTGTGTTTGGTGGAAGTATGTGCACTATTTTTGATGATCCTTCTCTGGAATGTCAAATTATCAGTGTGAAAATGAAAGGAAACAAGTGCTATCCTCTATCTCTTAGGCCCGAGAACCAACTTGTGTTGAACACTAGTTTTGCTCACTGTACTTGGACTTGGCACAGAAGATTAGGCCACTTAAGTTTTGGTGGAATTAAACAGTTGAAGGATAAAGACATGGTTCATGGTCTACCATATTTAGAAGAGTATGATAGAGTTTGTGAAGGTTGTCAATATGGTAAACAACACAGAGAAAGATTTCCTAGTGGTCAAGCACAAAGAGCAGGTGCTTCACTCGAATTAGTTCATGTTGATCTATGTGGGCCAATGAGAAATGAATCCATTGGAGGAAACAAGTATTTTATACTGCTTGTGGATGATGCAACAAGAATGATTTGGGTATACTTCCTTAGATATAAATCTGATGCTTTCTCTTGCTTCAAGAAGTTCAAAGCAATGACTGAGTTGCAAACTGGTTTAAAGGTGAAATGTCTGAGGAGTGACAGAGAAGGGGAGTTCATATCTACTAAATTCAATCAGTTTTGTGATACATAAGGCATTCAAATGCAACTCTCTCTTGCATACACTCCACAACAAAATGGAGTGGTGGAAAGGAAAAATAGAACTGTGGTTGAAATGGCCAAGTCTATGCTACATGATAAAGGGATGTCTTACTATATGTGGGCAGAAGCTGTACATACTGCAGTTTATATTCTGAATCGATGTCCTACCAAGTCTCTTGACAACATAACCCCTTTTGAAGCCTACAGTGGAAGGAAACCGGGTATTGCTCATTTGAAGGTTTTTGGCTCAGTTTGTTATGTGCACACTCCATCTAAGCTAAGGCACAAACTAGAAGCTAAGAGTCTGAAGGGAGTTTTTGTTGGTTATGCAAAGTGTGAGAAAGGGTACAAAGTTTTTTATCCACTTTCTAAAAGGATAATATTGTCGAGAGATGTTGTGTTTGATGAAGATTCAAGTTGGGACTGGCAAGGAAACACAGAGAAACATGTGACTATGCCCAACTATGAATGGCAATCTATTGAGATACCAAGAAGTGAGTTCACAGAAGATGAGACTCAAGTCTCAAATACCTTGTCACTTGGTAGTTTGAGAGAAACTTCAAGTGGTAGTGATGACACTCAGATTACTCCACAAGTACAGTCGAGTGAGTCTTCTAGCAAATCAAGTGAAGGTGTGATAGACTCACACGTTTTTTTATCATACTCCATTGAAATGAAGAAACTTGGATGATGTACTTGCTCAATGCAAGTTATGCATTATGGAACCTGAGAAGTATGAAGATGTTGCTGAGGATGAGTCTTGGATGAAAGCCATGAAGGATGAGCTTTCCATGATTGAAAAAAATGCAACCTAGGAACTGGTAGACATACCATCAAACAAGCCTATAATTGGAGTTAAATGGGTGTTTAAGACCAAACTCAATTTTGATGGAACTGTGCAAAAGAACAAGGCAAGGCTTGTTGCAAAGGGATATGCCCAGAAACCAAGAATAGACTACAATGAGACTTTTGCCCCTGTTGCTAGGTTGGATACAATCAGAACTCTTATTGCTTTGGATGCACAAAAGAGTTGGAAACTCTATCAGCTTGATGTCAAATCTGCTTTTCTGAATGGTGTTCTGGAAAAAGAGGTATATGTAGAACAACCTGATGGATTTGTGATCACAGGAAAGGAAGACAAAGTGTATAAACTCCATAAAGCTCTCTATGGTCTCAAACAGGCACCTAGAGCCTGGTATGGGGAGATTGACACTTATTTTGCATAGTGTGGTTTCATGAAGAGTCTTAGTGAGGCTACCCTCTACACCAAAGCAAGGGGAGATGAAATTCTAATTGTTTCAATTCATGTGGATGACATAGTGTATACAGGGAATAAAAATGATCTGTTGAAAGAATTCAAGGAGGATATGATGGTCAAGTATGAAATGACTGATTTGGGTCTTCTTCATCATTTTCTTGGCATGAGAATTATTCAAACTCACTCTAGTATTTTTATTCACCAAAGAAAGTATGTTGCTTCTCTGCTGAATAAATTTGGCCTAAGTGAGTGCAAATCTGTATTCACACCCCTTGTTCCATCAGATAAGTTGTGTAAAGATGATGGTAGTGGATCAGCAAGTGAGGAACAATATAGAAGAATTGTGGGAAGCTTGCTATATCTTACTGCCACTCGACCAGATATAATGTATGATGCCAGTCTCCTTGCTAGGTTCATGAACAGTCCCACAAATAAGCATTTTGGTACTGCTAAAAGAGTGCTAAGATACATTAAAGGTACTCTGGATTATGGCTTGGAGTATGTGAAAGGAAAAAATGCAATGCTAATTGGATTTTGTGATAGTGATGGGGGAGGATCGGTTGATGACAACAAAAACACTTCTGGAAATGCTTTTTCTTTTGGCAGTAGGGTGTTTTCATGGGCTTCAATGAAACAAAATTGTGTAGCTCTTTCCACTGCAGAAGCTGAGTATATCTGTGCTTCTGAGGCAACCGCCCAAGTTATTTGGCTTAGGTTTGTCCTTGAAGACTTTGGTGAATTATAAACTGAATCAACTCCAGTGCATTGTGATAATACAGCTGCAATTGCAATCACCAAAAATCTGGTGTTCCATCAGAAAACCAAGCACATTGACAGAATGTATCATTTCATCAAGGATGCACTACAAGAAGGGGTAATTAACTTAGTGTATTGTCCAACAAATGAGCAAATTGCAGACATCTTCACTAAGGCCCTAACCAAGGATCGGTTCAACTATCTCAGAAACATGCTTGGTGTGAAATCAGCTCAAAACTTAAAGGGGAGTGTTGAATTATAAGTTATGAGCTGATAGGATGAGTTTTATGGTTTAAATGGTGTATCCACTTGTGCTTAGAATGCCAAGTGTAAAATTTTGATTTGTAAAGGCCATGAGAGCCATGTGAATTTCCTTTGATTTGATTACTTGTTAGATGTGTGGCTGTGATCTAATCTAGGAGAGAGAATAGATCCAACAGTCCCTAACAATCATTTTCTTTACCTCACGACCTGTGTGAGAAAGAAAGATATATATATCAGAAATCTAAGAAAGCACCTCTACAACTTGTAGAAGGAGAGAAGAAACCATTTTCTCAATTTTATCATCTTTTTTGAATCCATTCAACATAAGAATAATCACAAGTTTGATTCAATCTAACAATCAGCACGTTCTTGATGCTGCGCTAAAGAGAGTTTATTCTTCAATCAGGGAAGTATTACGTTTTAATCATTCTTATTATGATTAATTTATTATTTTGAATTGATCTACATGCTATTGATTCAATTTAATTTTTCTATGTTGAACGTGATACAACACATTGGAGATGCAATTCCGGCTTTCCGAGAAAGATCTTCTACAAATTCAAAGGCTTTTGTTGTTTTCTGCCAATCAGGTACACTTAAAATAAAGTAAGATATTTGAAACGACCTTGAAGCATGAAAACATTCCCCATGATGCATGAATCCCCTATGTTTATATTTTCCTTCCGATATATATATTGTATATGTTCATATTTGTCAACATATATATATATATATATATATATATATATATTTGTTTCATGCATTACGCAATTAAATCGTTATGTGGAAATTGTGAGTCAAAGTATATTCATAAATTAGAAGCATAATAGGGTTTCTAAAACCCTAGAAATTTCGGAAAAAAAAAGAAAGGAAATTGGACATCATGCGGCACCACGGTCGTGAGGACCACTATGCTGGCCCGAAGCCCATCCGTGTGGAGACACTCCTCGAAACGACGTCGCTTCGACATATGGACCTTGGCAGCAGCCCTCTGGGCTTTGCTGCAGAGCACATGGACACACCAGGCCTTCGGCCTGGTTGGTTTGACTCGAGCCCGTAGCTTAACTCCATAAAGGAAACTTGCAACATTTCCCTTTCGGAACAATCTAATACTCTCGGCCCAAATCTGCCAGCACCAATAGGCTACTGTACCTTGTTCTACATCCCGGCCCATCTTTGCTGCAAGCCTGCAACTTGCATGCCCAATTGGGCTTCTTTTGCAACCTGCCCGAGCCCAGCCCATAGCTTGAGGCTACATGAGCTTGTCTAAAGCAGCAGCTAACAATGCTGGGTTGCTTTATTTTCTTGGCCCAAAAGCCAATTTTTGGCTTGTTTTTTTTTTCTTTTCAGCCCATATTTTTGGTGCCCTACTCACGGCACCCAAGCCCAATGTTATTAGGTTATGGCTTTTGGAATCTAATGCTAATTTTTGGCATTTTAAATAATTTAAACCCGAATGTTATAATTATTTTTGCTTCTACGATCGACCCCGAATGATCCTGATCTATTGAATTAATTAAAAGTGACTTGCAGTCCATTAATTTGATAATGAATCCAAAATTATTGACCTGAATATCACTTTTGGACATTAACGATTCAATAATTTATTTTTATACTTTGAACCATTGACATACTTTCGTAGTCTCGAAGCGCTCACACTTGAGTCCTTGAAGAAACTCAAATCCACTACACTTAGTTGTATATTGCATTTTGTATTATTACAGGAACCTCTCCTTTATGAACTAAACGTTCATAAACTAAATTGAACTTGTAGTTTCAAATTTAGTGCTTTTGAAACCCAAAGATTTCATAAAACAATACACCCATGAAAACCCGATGTTTTTTCATGAAAACCATGTCTTAGAACTCGAATGTTCTAACTTTGATGCTTATGGATGATTTATTCCCATATCACTAATCACAATCTTGTTCCCTTCAATTCAGTGGATTGTCGAACTGTCACAAGTTCGATTTTCCTGATTTGGACATTTATAATAGAAACCACTTTATGAGGGGTACAAGACGTGAATCTCCACTTGACTATCAAGAAGCTGAGAAACCATTGAAGCCAACAATGGCAAGGAAGAGTTGAATAAGTCTCCACCATGATCTTCATTCGAAGACTTATGCCCAAAGCATTACAAGCGGATTTACCTCTTGAACGAGGATTCCATGGCTCTTTGGCTCGCTCCTACAGACTGTCTAATCATGAAAGACATTGCCTGAAGCAAACCATGATTACGTCCATGAATGAGTACAATTTTGAAGTTTATAAATCCGATCGAATTTTGACTAGAGAATACCTTTCTCATCCTTCCATGCTTCTAACTCGCCCCTGAAGCAGCAATGTAGAAAGCGAAAGTTTACCAAATTCTTGGATCTAATTACTACCACAAACATATGGTAGAATCAGAGTCTGCCAAGGTGTGGCATCATGCCCGAAGCGTGATCTTTGGCACCTAAGACCTAGAACTTCAAGAATAAGGGATAATATTTTCGAACCTCAACCCTGTAGAATCTACTTCCATCTCAATGGAATAGATCATTGGTTATGCACATGTTTGTGCCCCTACCAATGTTGTTGAGGAATACCATTCTAGTAGTCAATCTGTGAGACTAATTTTGCTCCATCAAACATCATTGGAAGAGTAGAATTTTGACATGGATGACCTTGTTGGCCGAATCCCCTTAGTAAACCATTTACTTTGTGAACATTTTTCCATGTTCCTGGATTCAAGTTTGGTGTATGTTTTACTTATGGATAATCTTATTGATCTTGTCCTCGAATATGAGTTAATTGAATCATGTTTCTTAATACATGTAACCGATTCAATTAAACACGTGATTAGGTGGGAAAGTTAGTTGTCTGGATGAATGTGTACTACACACACTAACTTTACACCTAAATCACATCTCTAACAACGACTTTAGGTTTATCCAACCTGATTAAGAGCATTGGTACACTCCTCGTTGTATGAATGGTACTGCATCACCATTTAAGGGACCTTAAATTCTCCTTGTCGTTGAGTTTTTAAGGATATTGGAGATGACAATGATCATAAATGAACCACGGAAGAAAATAAAGTGAAATATCTTTGCACCACCTCCAAACATAAGTTTGAAGCTTTGATTTAGGGCCAATGAGTTGTCTCCCAACTGGGAATACACCACATGTGGCTAGCCTGAAGCCTAATGATTGAGCAGTTTACTTAGTTTGGCACGACCTTTTGAGACATTTAGGTCGAACAATGATGCTATGACGCATCTCCTTACCCGAAGTAAGGATCTTGTGCCTACAAGCACACTTTGCCAAGCCTGCTCATTAGGGAAATTAATTTTCTATATCATTTCTCGCAAAGATATGAAATCACCCTTTTTCATAATGGATTCAATGGAATATATGTGGACTAATCTAACCAAAATGCGGACCATATAAATACTTATGGTTTTGGTTGATGAAACGACAAACTGGTCGCATATTTATCCACACACATTGTTGCTAAACCTCATGGCCGATTAAGGGTTCACCACCCTACTTATCCTTTAAGGTCTGGGAGACTGGATAATGCCGGAGATTTTATATCGACGGTTTTCGATAAAGTATTGCATGTATTTTGGGTTTATAATTGAACATCGAGTTCCTATGTTCACCCCAAATAGTCTCGCCTAGCGATCATAAAGCACAATTTAAATGATCGCCCGGATTTTGGTAAACGAACCAAATTTTCGGTTTCTACCTAGGGCTATGCAATCCTTGTACGCAATTATGTTGGTCCACCTTGAGGCCCATTGCCACCCAACCTATATGACGTTACAGTTAGTTACTGGGTATGAACTTGACGTTTTTCGTATTTACGCATTTGGGTGTGTATTCTATGTGCCAAGTTGCGTCGCCGCAACGTACCAACATAGGTCCTCAAAGAAGGATGTGAATATTTGTCGATCATGATTCTCATTCACACTAGCTCTCTTCGAGCCCTTTCATGCGATCTCTTTACCGCTCATTTACGGGTTGTCACTTTAATGAGACAGTCTTTCCGTTGTTAGGGAGAGATAAGAACGTCAACATTCATATAGAACAAAGCGAATTTGAATGGACGTTACCCACTATGTTTCATCTCGATCCATGTACCGCACATGTATGATAAGTGCGATGAATTCTAGCTTTCAGAATGTTGCTCCAAATGCATTCCTCTAATCTAGCTAAAGTGACGATATCATATACCAGTTGCAAACATGCCTGCAAAGATATACCTACTTAACGGATGTCGAGTCAACGTCCCTGGAAGGTGTGTTGCCCTTGTTGGACAGTTTGGACGCCCCTGTTAGACGGTTTGATACACCGGTAGATAGCCAATCAATCTGTCTTGGCCTAGAACACTACAGATCACTCGGTTCGTAGGATTCACTTCCCTAAAAGAGGATGACACGTCACAAAATGAATCTAAACTCGATCACTATCTCAAATCATTTCCATCTCATGAGATTAATCCGGATTTCTCCCGAGACTTAAAGTTCTTGGTCCAGTATACTAGTTTGGATGAGCTAAATGGAATTGAAATGAGATTATCATCGATGATGTTTTCACTTATATGGTAGCTACCAATATAAATGAAAAGCGACGATATCGAACCGTGTTCCGTGGATTAAGTGACACCGTATAACTGATTGGACAACCAAAATTACAATCCAGGTCAAATTCCTTACCAAAATGTGTATTGGACC